ATATGGTATTGTATATAATGTAACATTTCTAAAAGCAAAAGTACCTTTTGTTAATAAATTTAAACACCAAATAAGTAATTTTGTACTTGAGTTCTATTTTGTTGGTAATTTTTTCCATGGCCAATTTGGGTAGAAAAGGCTTTGCTTTATTTTGATGTGTAGATTTTTTATAGAGATAAGCCCTTATAATTAGTATATGTTACTCAAAAGTCATCGCTTAAGAATGTCTGAGTTTAATTAGATAAATATTTTAGATTTATTTAAACTATTTATGTTTTAATATTTTTTTAATTAATTTTAAATTACCTACTTATGTTTTAGCTTTATTTTTTCTAGATAGAGTTCTATTTCTTGATGATTTTAATTACATTTGTAGATTTTCTTTTTTCTTATAACTTCTTAAAATTCTTTTAAATTTAAATAATATTTCTAACTTCTAATGCTATTTACTCACTTAGCACTGAAGTGGAGAATGTTTTACACATGGCACGCTTTGGTTTGACTGAGTGAATCAGTGATAAGCCCTAGTGTTTTTTAGATAGAAGGATGGTTTTCTATACAACCTGATCAGTCTTGTCATTTCCAAATTGTGAGAACTGAAGTTTATAATTGTCTCTTACTTCTAGCTAAGAAATCTTAATCATCTACGATTTTTCACTTGATACAATTAACTCAAGATGGTAAATTTAATTCTCTTTCACTCAAAAGTATCAAGGAGTCCTTAGAGGTTATATCCTAGGTCATACTTAGATTAAGATTTATTTCACCAAGGATCAAGCTAAAGCTGATGAAGAGGAAGAAAAAGGGAATACATGAATGCAATAATTATTACTTTTATTGGTTGGCTAATAAGCATTGTCTCGTGCTCATGAATAACTCTACTTCATTTTGCAAATCATGGGGATGCATGGATTACTATCCTAGTCAACCTCGCTAAAAGTCTCATTAAAGATGACCTCTGGAATGAGATGCTCTAGAGAGGAAGTGGTGTTTTGGGCGATTTATTGTGAGCTTAAGAAAAAAAAGTGGATGCTTTGATTCAAATTGGAAGAGGGTCATTTGTCCTGAGTAAAAGTGAAGTTCTTTCATCATTGGATAGCTCAAGCAAAGGCATTGAGTAGCCACAATGCCCTATTAAGCTCAAAATCGAGCAACTAGGTTTGATTGGAGATACCATTAATAGCTTGATTTAGCAAAGAAAGTGGTTGGAGAGATCTTGGACTAGCCATCTTTTAGGTTGGTCGGGAGGAGCAACCCATGCATTAGGTCATATTAATCCCCTCAAGGCAAGGTCTAAGAAGTTAAGAGAGAGGCAGGTTGTGGCTAATTTGGGCATATAGCTAGCTAGGTTGACAAATTAAGACATCTGAGGCTTAGGTTATCCCATTTGATGCACCTATATTTGATCATCTAGCTAGATGATTCTAACTCAATCCTTAAAATGCCTAATTAAGCTTTATTTTAGTTTGGCTAAGTTTATGATTAACATTATGTGAAATTGTCCCGAAGGAGTCAAATTGAGGCCTAAGCACAACATGTATCAGCATAATTGTAGATGATTGACTATACTTGGCATCAAAATCTAAACAAATTTGTAAATCAAAAACCTTCAATTTTTTGTGGTAAAGATAACTTAAAGATGTGTCCACTCTAGTTTGTTTAGATTTTGATTGCATTTGGAGGGTTTTGACTCAAATTGATCTAATTGGGTCAGCACGGATCAACAAGCTAATTGATATATTTAGATTTGAGATAGGCTTGAGAGGTTAAAAAATATTCAATATTTTTCGATGAAATTTTGGAATAATTAGAGCTTAGTTATTAGGGAAGATTTTAAATTTGGCTTAAATGACCCTTAGTGGGCCTTTTAGTCAAAGGGGATTGACCTAGCCCTTAGAGTAAGCTTGGATGAGACCAAACTCAATCATAATATCATTAGTGTTATTTGAAGTCAAATGGGTTTGAGGTTGGATATATTTGAATGTATTTAGATTGAATCAGATAGAATGGGCCCTTAATGGGACACTTGGTCAAACTATGTTGACCAAGGGCCTAAAAGTCTCAACTTTGATTGACATTGATTTTTAGTGATATTTGTGTAGATTAGAGGCAATATGAGTTAAAATTTTGGGCGAAGAATAAGGTTGACTTTTGTGGGCCTCATAGGCAAATTGGAATTGAAGTTGTAAATATGGTTGACCAAATCTTCCTAAGTTTAAAGAAGAGCCTAAAGACGGTCCTGAACTCAGTAGGGGATATCCTAGGGCATTAGGATTGATTTGGTTAACTAGGTCCAAAGATGTCGCATGATTCCCAATGGTCAATTTGAACTTAATTAGGCTCGCCTTCATTTCAATATAAACTTGCAATTGGACTATTGACTACACTGTATGAGCTAGAGTCTAATTAGAGCTCATTTGAAACAAAAGATAGAATTGGGTTAGCCATTCATTAAGGCTAAATAGAGCCACCTAGAGGTCATTAGGAAGGGATCCTAAATTTGTAAGTGAAGGTTGGAGGTTTGATTTAAGTTTTGCTCACCACAAGTAAAATCTAAAACTTTTTTTTATGATAAAAAATGAATTAAAAATATGGAGTCTTCAGGTGAGGGTGAAGAATTAAAATATTTTTTTGCTAATGTAAGAATCTATTTCTTAACATAATTTCCCTCAATGACTCGTTCTGAGTTTTCTTTAAAAATGAGCAAGGATGATGACAACCCTAATCAAATCTCATTAATGGGTAAGAAGTCTTGAAAATATGTAGTTTTTATATTTAAAGACATTGACAGTTTGATAATCAATCTAATTATAATGTGTAAAAATCTTAACCATCATCGACGCACCCATCATGTGGGCCAATGCTCATCTAATTGTTAAAACTAAATTTTATTAGTCATTTTGGTAAGACGTTTATATCTCCTCCACAAAAGAGTTAGGAAGAAGCACACTAAGAATTTCTAATCTTTATCAAGAAAGGTGGACATGATGATGCACAAGACAAATAATGCTTTTCAAAGTGCCTACTACTCTAACCATGTGAAGAAGGGTATGCAAAGTTGTGTATAATATTAAGGTAGTCAACTACCCACATTAAAAATAAAAAATAAAAGCATAGTGATTTGAAATTCTCCTTTAGGTTAGGTGTAACAAAAGCGACATAAAGTTAAGAAATAATCCCCTTAGTACCTCACCAACGAAATTCTTTTGTTATGTATGTGCATAATATGATGACATAAAGGGACATTTACATGCATCCCCCCCAATTCCTATGTATTTATGTATCTTACACCTAATCTTTACATTTTATATTTAAACTACCCAAATTTCTATATCAAAAACAATATCATTATTTTAACTTTTAAAATGTGAAATGCATATTTTTATGCATAGATAAATAGACATATATGTAAAACTTACAACAATTCTATATGTAAATAGATAAAAATTTAGTGGTCTATACGCAATCTTCCTAACATGAAATAATGGCAGCGTGCTCCCACTTCACAAGACAAAGGTGCTTATGTTGCCACCATTGATTAAATTGTGGTGAACAAAAAGAAAGTATTAACTCATTATAGCTAAATTTCCTATAAAGATTTTGTTTTTCTTATGGGAAATTAAATTTAAAAATTCAAAAATTGCAAATTCATTAGATAATAACTCTCTTTTCATAAGCCACTTGTCACGTACTATTCTCGAGTCAGCCATGCAACTTTAGCGATCTCATTTAGCACTAAATCAGTCTAATCCTCAAAATCCTTGGACTTGTGAGCATAAAACACTCTAAGAAGAAGAGTAGGGAGAAGTATTTGAGAAAGGAATACTTCACTAAGAAAGAACAATTACAACACTTGAAAGCTTGGAAGCTTGGATGTTTTCTTAGTTGATTGCAAATGAGGGGAGGGGCTCTTATTTATAGCCCCTCCAAGCCGAAGGGAACATTCTAGAATACATTAGATTATTCTAATTTCTAGATTGTTCTATACAATTCTTATCTGTATACATGACCCTAGAACCTCGTAAGTTATTCTTGAATTATCATTGGAGCTTTTCCTTCAAACCTTCTCTAGAATGTGATGGAGTTTTCTAGAATTTCTTGGATTGCACTCATCCATTCGCCCTTTTCTAGAATCTACCATCTTATGATTTTCTTTCGGCTGGCTTGTTAAGTATGGCATAGTGTGACAGACTGCTTCTCCTGATATAGTACAACCCCCTTTTTCATTTTAAAAGCACTCTAATTTTAGCGTTGAGGTTGGGATTGATGTCAAAAGATAAGTTAGTCTAGCGTAACATTTTTATATAAAGCCTAATTAAGATGAATATTTTATCTAATTAAATCCTCTACCTATTCTAACATGAATTGGAATTAGGCTTATGTAAACTTTGCCAAAAATTAAGAGAGTAAATTAATGAGTTTGAGGTTAAGCCTCTCCTCACTTGAGCTTTTGTTTCAAATAATTAAATGAATTCGAGCTGGCAAACAATTCTTAACTCAACTTTCTCGTGCCTACTCACTATACTATTAAATATGAGGAAAATAAATAAATAAATAAATAAATTGATTTAAAAAAAAAAACCTTTTCATGAAAGAGGAAAATTAGACTGAATTTAATGATTTGTTGCATTAAATTCATGAATAATGAGACAGATAATGAATGAGCAATTAGAATTTGAGTTTTTCTAAATACTTTTGCATAAAAAATTCAACAAAACTAGTCGTGACTCATAAGCCAATTTGCTTAATTATGATCAAAATTTTGTGAATTTGATGATCTGATTAGAAAAGTAGATGTTTTAGATTCGACTTATGTTCAGAAAGGCAGATGTAGGCATAGAATGACTTGGGCATATTGTATAAAAATGATCTCATTTATTAAAATTAAATGAAAATATGACACTAAATAGGACGCAATGGAGACAGAGGATTCATGTAGCCGACCTCACTTAGTGAGATAAATGTTTTGTTGTTGTCGTTGTATGATCAAAATTCAGTGCTGATAGCTCAAAGATTTTTCTCTTCAACTAATAGTTCTTTAAAAAACCTTCATAAATAAACTTTATTTACAATGAAGCATCGAAGGGAAGCATCTCTCAAGACAAAGGAAAACATGGATAACAAAGACTAGCAAGCTCAACTAAGACACACAAACACAAGTACCCATTTATTTCATCCTTTATTCACATGAATTTCCTTTGCAAGCATGGGATGAACTTTTAATGCATGGCTGTGACAACCGTGGGAGCTTCTTCCACCTAAACAAAGAAAAAACAATTAAGAATTAACATCAAAAAACAATAAATAAATAATTGAATGAATAAGTTATAAACTTCAAGCATATGCTAATATGAGCTAAAATTTGTGAAATCATTTCAAATAGAGTGAACAAAAATAGAAAATGAGAAAAAAAAAATCAACATGCAAAAACATATCTAATTGATGACTATCATGTTGCTAATGTGGTAGATTTTACTAGACTTTGGAAAAGTGGTAGATATGAATGATATGATACATGATAAGATACATGAAATCAATTCTTAATCTAAACGTTTCATTTAAGATATGGAATATATGGAAATAATTTTAAGGTTTAATGAAGCATGAACAAGAAAAGAAGCTGAAGAAAAACAAAACTTGGAAAAGTGGTAGATATGAATGAGAATCTGAACATTACATTGAAAGTGGCACCACAAATTTCTTCTTCATCTGCTAAAGTTGCAGTCACCTTGTTCTTAGGATGCTCATAACTTTTCAACCCACCAAGGGAATTTGAATAAAAGCATCCTGCGATCCCAACAAACACAACAACTTGAAAACAGAGATGCCAAACAAAATAAGATAGACAAACAGACAATCAAAACAAAACGGTGCTATTCAAAGACATTTTCAAGCCTATCTTCATCCTTAAGCTCCATTTGGCATGCAATCTTTCAAGATGCTACTTTTGGCATTTATTGACCAACAAAAGTTTAAAAATATTTGAAAAAAAAAAAATAGCTAATATGGAATAAATCAATTAGATGAACGCAAAAAAATAATAATAATAATAATTTAAAAAAAAACATACATACCACATAATTCTTATGCATTTACATAATTCACCCCTGAAATTTCATATTTACACAGAGCACTCTGGTGCTTTAAACCTATTCCTGAAAATGTGTATTTCACATTGCAAAAAGTGATAATAGTCTGGTGGAATCGGGTTATGTTGCCCACCCTTAAATTTGAGATTTCTTTATATAAAGAATAGAATTTAATAATTTTTTTGTGTAGTTTAGGTAAGTAATTTTGTCCCGATCGATTTATTATTATTATTATTATTATTTTGCTCAGAATTTTAAAGAAAATTAAACATTTATTATTTTGGCCACCATAAAAAATAAAGCTGGTTCTGCCCTTGTTAGTAGTGTTATTTTTAATGTGATATTAAATATTTGTATCTTATGCATGTAAGTTTAGGTGTAAGATATGTAAATACAAAAGAATTGTGTGCTATGATTGTAAATGACCCCCCAAAAAAAAAATTCTTTAAGCAATAGTTTGGATAGATAAGCAGAAAGATTTCTCACCAAACTAATCACTTAATTATTAATACAATTTCTACACAAATTAAGAGTAGAATGGTATATTCCAATTGTACATTAGTAATAATATTCACTTCAGTTATTCAACTAACGCATATAAGCATCTCAACGTACATTAGTAATAATACTCATTTCTATTCTATCAAATAGACAGCAATCTTAGCAAGATTCATCAAATAGTTAACTATTTTGCACAACTACGCAACAGAACATAACACAAAACAATAATGCAATACAAAATTTTATTTCTCTTTGAATCAACCAGAAGAAAGAAAAATTACCAGGAGGAAATGGAGCAAGGGATTTGCCACACGATCCTTTCAGTATTTCGACATCATCGGCAAAAGCAAGGCATCCATCTGCTGTAATTCCCCAGTACAAAGGAACCCTACCATCAGCATCCTGTCAGCCACATTCCAAGGAATTTAATCAATAGGACAGCAAATTACTAGAATGTCTTTCGATATATTTTAATTATCTATTTATATCAAAGAACTAAACACATATATGCCACTCATTTATTATGTATTTACATATCTAATACCTAAGCTTCCACTTTTACATACATAACACCACGCCTATGCATGAAAAGGTGTATTTCACTTTTAAAAACTTAAAATGGTTGTATTTTTTTATGTGACATGAAAGATTTGGTTGGTATAAATGTAAAATGTTAAAATTATTTGTTAGATATATAAATACATAGGAATTATGTGGTATGCATGTAAATGCTCCTTTCTATTTTTGTTTATGCTTTGTTATGCTATAACATATTTAGTTGCTTTTAAATGCAGTTAAAATGACTTGCAGATATTTTGAGCATTTTTAAAAATAACGTTTATGAAAAAAAAAATAAAAAAATATCAAACAAATATGCTATTAAAATAAAGCAAAAATAAAAGATAAAAGTGAACGCAAACAAGCCCGAAAAGAATTCATTAAAGACAAGGAAGATTGGAGATGAAGTCAAAGACTTACAGAAGCTACAAGGATGGTTGAAGTCTTTCTGTCAAAGAGCACAAAAGAAAAGTTTCCAGTCAAATGACCAAGCATGAAGCTGGGAGGATGAGGAGCTCTGTCTCGGAGAACTTTGTAGGCCTCAATCACAAGCAAAACTTCATTTGAGTTCTTAGAGAGACCGTAATGTTGAATCAGGTTTCCTAGGTTGTCAAGCATTCCTTGAAATAAACAGAATATATCATCTTTTGCTGCAAATAATCTGTAGAATAAGTTACAATGTTCAGCTATTTGTAAATTTACCCGATTAAGCACTATAAATCTATAAATATACATTAATATTATTAGTATTGTCCTTCAGCCATTAGGTGAAGCTTTGAGTTATAGGGTCTCATGATTAATACATTAATCTCAACTAGCGCCACGAACAAGTTTTCTTTTTGGGGTGTTGAATTGATAAGTCATATTTGCTTCTATCCTTGTTGAGCATGACAATTGATGATTTAGCTCGAATACATATCATAAGCCTAATTGTTTTTCTTCGTTCACCAAAAATCATTCTGTGGACAATAAGATAATAGCATACAAATAAATAATAATAATAATAATAATCATAATAAACTTGACTTTTCAAAAAAATAATTTAGATGTTATTTGGAATAACCAAAAAACTTTTTTTAAAATTTTTTTACAGAACCGTGTTTTATCCGCTAAAAGTTGACATCTAACTTTTTGGCCAAAATTGATTGATGGTATTTAAAAGAAAAAAATTAAGTAAAGGACTTCGAGATTTAAATGAGGGTGAAAAATAATTGCATATTATGGTTGAAATGAGCTAATCTCTAATCAATATGCACTAATAGTGATGCTGACAGGAGCTCATTAATTGCGGAATGTTTCAATTTTAGTAATAATAATGACGACTTTATACAGTTTGATATCGGGATAGAGAATGGAAAATCGAGAGCATGATAAACCATTTTTAACAGCTAATAAAAACACAACTTCAATGTTTGAAATAGTTCATTAAAGACGAAGAAAATCAAGAAATAAATCATAAATATATTATAGATTATATTAATGCCCCTTTTTCACTACGGACCAAACAAAACAAACAATCATATAAGTAGGAAACTCATTAACTGGTGGAGAGTTCTGAAAAAATAAATAGGGAAACTTGTATAAAAAGTCTCCGTCTATTTTAGTTCCCCAAATTACTTAAACATAAAAAATGGCCATTTACCAAACTAACACCGTCGCATAATTTTTTTAATTTCCACTTAAATATTAAAATTCACAACAAACCTCATGCTATATTTTTTTTACTTTTGTCAAATTCCTGAAAGTTCGATCACGGCACACTCAACTTCTATCATTCAAAAAATAATATAGGTGCTATTTGTATAAATAACCAATATTCGGGTCCGCATCTAATCCCCGCAAATATTTAAAATTAAAATTCATGAAATTTTTATATCTAGATTATCATATGTGATTAATAGTTATAGAAGGAATTTTAAATATTTAACATTATAATATAATTTAATTATTAAGGATATTTTGCATTCAATCTTAAAGTTTGTTATTTACAAAATAAAGAATATGATACTTACCAACTTAAAAACATTAATTTTTGCATAAAATTAGTCAAATTCTGTAAATTTTGTGCAATATTATCCAAATAAAGATAGAGCGTGGATATAGGAAAATAGAATTGAATCTTAACGTTATTACATGAAAAGAAGAAAAAACTCAGAAATTTTCTGGTTTGAAATGCATCCAAAAAAGATTACACCAGAGTCCACACATAAAAACACCACCAGGAGATTCCATGGCTGATTTGCCAAGAATTAATTTCAAACTTGAAGAGAGGAGACCTATACAAGAATAATAATCATGAATGATGCATAAATATAAAACCAATAAAATGTCACATAAAATAGACAAAATTCCTAATCTTTTTGTTTCCGTGCAATAATTGATAGATAACAGTCCTAATCATTTTGTTTCCGTGCAATAAGTGTGGGATCAAAACTTTCATTTAACCAGCATAGTTTACAACATGATGTATAAATTCAAAACGCAATTTAAGGAACAACATGATGTAAAATTTAAAATGTACCCAAAAATATATAGACAAATAAAATTGGAGACCAAAAGTGCTTGAAATGATATGAAAACTTTACCAAAAGGATCAATTTATTGCAACAAATTCAATGACACCAAAATCATAACATTCTAAACCGACTTCCTTGATCTCCTTGCATGGAGCCATGACGAGCACAAGAAAGAGATAGATGTGGCATCTTGGCACCACCAATGTCTTTAGTGATTGGGGAAGCTAGGAAACCAATCACCTAACCTCTTCTAGATACAAGATGTGTTCAGAAATTATTTGGTAGCACAAGCGTGTAATTAATGTATAAAATCATCTGTGAAGGATTCAATTTCCAAGGTCTACGAAAGCCTCCACAGATATTTATGTCGTGTGGCAATTAATTGCTCCTGAAGAGATGAATATTGGGATCTATGAATTGTGACACATTGTCATTGCTTTTTCGACGGCCACAAGTTTGAGCAACTAATCTTTCCAAAATTATACTCTTTCTTTGATATAACTATGAAAGCTTCAATCTATCACCTCTGTTGAACTAGCCGCCTTAAGACTAACAAAGTTTTATATTTTGTCACGACAGTAACCACTTCATCAATCGGGCGGGTCGAACTCGCTCACAGTAAATAGGAAGGCTCAAGCAAAGGACAGTATCATCCAGGCATATTTAAATCAAAAGTATAAACATATATCTACATATATATATATATATATATATATATATATA